TGTGTGTGTGTGTTGTGAAGGAAGGGGGAGGGGGAGGGATAAAGAGTCGATGTGAATGACAGCCGATCAGTTCTATAAACCACGAACCGCCACTGCTTACAATGAGTACAGCAAAGAAAGATGTTCTCTCCCAGCCTGTCCCTGGTAATATGCAGATCCCCCCTCCTGACATCAAAATACATAAAACAACACTGAACAATGTTGATGCTTTTAAATATATTGGAAGTATATTATCTTCAAATGCCTGCATCGGTGCATAAGTAACTTGTGTATGAATAAAGCTAGTGCATCCTTTGGAAGACTCAAAGCAAGGGTTTGGTACTGCTGTGGCATTTGCATAGAGACAAAAGTAGAAAGTCTACAATGTTGTGGTCCTCCCAACCTTGTTGTATGGTGCCGAGGACGGACGGTATACCAAAGATGTATTCATGGCGTCAAAAGGAAGGATAAACACCGACGTTCTCACAAGGGCAAATTCCGAGAATCTGTTTTCTTTGCTCAAAAGGAATCAACTTCGCTTGGCTGGCCATGTCGTAAGAATGCCTGATTTCAGAATTTCAAAGGTAGTATTCTATTCTGAACTGTCCCCAGAGAAGCGTAAGGTTGTTGCACAAAATAGGGCTACAACGACACCCTAAAAATGTCTATGGAGGACTTAACATAAATACTTCGACATGTGAGAGCCTTGCTCCTGATAGACCCATCTGGTCAGCAAATCATATGAGGCTTCACAAATAAGAAATGCTGAAACCAAGACCAAGAGATAAGCCCGCAAGCTGCGCACATTCACAAGTGGAAGTAAAGCTTTGAAATGTTCCAGATATGTCAAACTTATCTCTACAAGAATTGGTTTCATCGGCTACAGCAGAAGGCACAGGTCTCTCAACCCTTAATTCTTCAAATTCTTCTATTTCGCTGGAGAAATAATCCTTCCCCACCCTACAAAAACATCCTTCCAAAGGATGCACTAGCTTTGTCGTTGATGATCCTGTAAAGACACGTGAAGCAGCTGAGGATGTGATCAAAGAGGTTGGAGCGGATGTGACAATTTTCACCGATGGATCGGCGGT